ACATGACTTTTAATATCACAATTTCTGATGGGAATCTAACAAAACTCAGGTCTCATGAAAAGCTATTTTACTGGTTATACAACAACGTTTTTTTTTAATACCTCCGTGTGCAGTGTGGAAAGCAAGAGAGATTATCAGTATTGTAAGAACAAACCCATCTTTTGTGTTTACCCATCTTTGAGAGTTTTCTCTTTTACACGTTAATTTATCACTTGGGCACAGATAGAAAATGTGTTTAATGTTTAATAAATCATAAAGGTTTTGTAAAAGAGTAGTTATATTTAGATGGGTTATAATTAATTTTTAGGTCATATAATTCTTTATATTTGTGCAGACCTGTCATTTGTAGTACTGTACCATTTTTTCTTTTTGAGCCAAACACATGTGACTAATTACTTTGGCTGATGGAACCAGAAGAACGTTCACAGTTACAAAACTTTCATTAGCAACTATCCTGATCTGTGACGTCAAAGGCAGCAAATGGGAGAAAAGTCCGTTTCAAGGTTTTAAGAGCGTCCAAAACCTGGTAAAACCACTACTGTAATTTAATGAAATATTACCAAATATTGCAGTTCCAACATCTGCCAGCAGGGGCTAATGGGGTCATGTGAACCAAACTTCCAGTTATTATTCCAGTCTCGATATAACTTCAAATCTATTTGAAACCTGTGGTAATCGACAGATGCTGTTGATTACCACAAAGCATCATCTTGACTCATTCCTGAGTTTGAAAAAACATCATATGCTAGCGTTCTCATATTGTTTCATACCTATTCAACTTTCTTTCTTCTATTGAAAACAACTGCAAATAATTATAAAGAACAGTACTCATTTTTCCATGCATTACAATGAATGGAGACTTTCAAACTTCAAAAAGCACTCAATGTGATGAAAACCTTAAAAGAATCATAAAAATGGTCCATGTGCTATTTTCCATATACTTCTGTAAGTAACAGTATTTTCAGGGAATAACAAATAACTAATACATTTCAGTCTGTTCATCACACAAGGTTTTAAAACATATGGACCACTTTTATGGTGCTATTATGTGTTCTTTAGTTCTTTAAAGTTTCTCCTGTTCTGTCCACAAAGAAGAAAGAAGGTCTTTTGGATTTGGAATAAGATGAAGATAAATAATTAAATAACATTTTTACACTTTAACTACATCCATTTACTTCTAACTTGGAATATTCCTTTAGGTTCTAATCTAAAGACTCATTATGATTCACTATGTTAGAAATAGCACATCTTCTCATGCTTGGGTAACAGAGAATTCATAGAAGCAAAAACGTGATTCGGGTCTGAGGAATAATAAGGGCGCTCACACTTTCCAGTCTGATTGGCAAAAGAGATGAATTGAAGCATATCTCCAAGGTTCCCCTTTCACATTCTCTTACCCAGTGAGGTGATTTGGATAAAATGCCTCATTACACTCTAATCGTTAGACTATTCAAACATCAGCGACTGGAATCAAACTTCCAAACCACAGCAAAATAGACAAGCTAAGCACTCCACGTTAACAATCATATGTTTCCTCAAATAATGAGTTCTAATAAAGTCGAACTGCATTTCAAAAGAGGGCAGGGAACTACTGTTCAGGCATGTTCCGTTGCTTCTCATATAAGTTACTGCAGTTTGCTAGTTCTCCACTGTCATATTGTTTGATGCACTGATATTTAAAATCTGTTTCTGGTGGGCTACCGGCCAGTTATCGACTAAACATCTCTCTCTTTTATTTATTTTTTTTGGGGTCAGCAGCTTGGTAGCGAGCAGTTCTGGCAGTTTAGGCGAGTTCTGCTACTTAAAAAAGAGAGAGAAAATGCTGATCAGCTGACCTCGGCTCTTATGTTCTGATTCCCTCACATGAGTTTTCAGTTTTGAATTTTTCTTCCTCTTTTCTAGAAATGATTCAAAGACCAGTCAAAATGTCATTGACACCAAAAAATGTAATTTTGATGTTGGCAAAGATAAAAAAAACAAAAACAAAAAAAAAACATTTAAAGCAAGACACTACAGATTAATAGGAAAGATACATCATACTTCCTGAGTTCATTAATCACTGCATTAAGATAATTGGTTTGAATGACAAGTTTTATGGTATGTTTAAATATACAAATATGGCATTTTCTAATTAAATATGCTGACTTGCATACATTTCCAGAACAGAAATTTGAACATTGGATAAAGCCAGGTTCAAAATTCTTGTTTCATTTTGTTGACATATTGGAGTTTTTGCCAGAGGCAATTTTGCATATCGCTATTATTATAACTTCATAAGTAAAAAAAAAAAAATACTGTCAACAACCAGAAAAAAATTAATTTTTTTTTTAGAAATAATATTTTATAAACCAGGTGAATGATAAGTGAACAAAGCCCTTTGTTAAAGTCATCAGAATATAAATAGGAATAAAAAAACGTTTGGTGCATGTACTGTAAGTGCAATGTGGAAATTTCTGGCTCAGTGCATGAAGAAAAACAAATGTCATTTTGAGAAAATAGCTTTTAAATATACAGTATGTATTTTAAGTGGAATCTACAGATGGAAATAGATAAAGTGCAATAACATAAACACATAAAGGTGTATTTTGGATGTTTTTTCTGCTATTCTGAAACAACACGTTATGAAACAAACTTTCCAGTTGTATTCCTATCTTCATTAGGTTTTTACAGAGGCGTTTATTCCTTATGTCATTTGCCTGATTTTATTCCTAACATGGTAATTTTTTTCCCTGGATGTTGACATAATTTTTTGGTATATTTGATTATATGTAATATTTTTGTAAGTCACCCAACAGTTTGCTTTGACATCCTTTGGGGATGTTGGATTGAAGTAAATACATAACCAAATATTGAAGATTGGTCCTTGGTTTAAAAACTTGATACCATGCATTTGGACCCTGCATTTACTCAAAACTTCTTGACAGGAAATAAACCGAACTGTGAAAGCATCCTGACTCCATGGAGATGTGATGATAATGATGACTGCTCAGACAACAGCGACAAGGAGAATTGCCACGAGTAATCTAAACCTCTTTTTAACAGGTCTTATTTAGCCATGCTGGTATCCTCTTTGTTCCTCTTTCAATTGAAATCAACTGTCACGAAAAACATCCAGTGTTGCCCAGAAATTCTGTTTAAGTATATCACTCACTAAGTTTTGAAACACAGGAGTAAACTTAAGCAGCTGTTTCTTTGGAAAGACTCCAACTGTCACGAGTTTTGGCTTTAGATTACAGTGCTTGTTTTGCTGTATAGTATGTATTAGTAATGGGCAATGCACTTAATGTTCATCTTTTGTGAAGCTGCTTGCAATCGCACATTATTATAATAATTGATAATAGTGATGTACTGTATAAAATGGACATTGCCATTTAGAGGGGTCATATGATGCGATTTCCAGTGTTACAAGCTCTTGGTGCATAAAGAAGATCTGTAAAGTCTCAAATCCAAAGAGATATTCTTTATAAAAGTTAAGAGTCAACCACGCCTACCTAAAACGGCTCGTTCTAACACACCCCCACATGTCTACGTCACGATGTGGGAAGATTTGGCCGCCTCTTTGCCCATTTTCGATTATCCGGGAGTGACTCGCGGTGATGCGCTGCCAAGATGGCGACGGCCGGCTCTGCCTACTTTAGGCTTCAAAAACGCTCTTTGGAAACCTACAGGTGACGTCACGGACACTACGTTCATGTTTTTATACAGTCTATGCAGGGCATCATCACAGTATGGTGAGGGGCGTAACATTTCCGTCACACGCTTGAGGTATTTGGCCAATCACAACGCACTAGATAGCTGGCCAATCAGAGCACACCTCGCTTTTCAGACCGTTGAGCTTTGTAAAAATCTGCATTTGCATATTCATACTTCACATTTCAGAAAACTTGTTTGCTATTCGTAATGGTGATATCTATATTTAATGTTTACCCTCAGTTTTCTTTTCCCTTATAAACATATTTCCTATGAAACAGGAAGTTTGGAAGAGACACTGGCCAATTGCTATTATGACTTCATGGGGTCAAGTAAAATTAAAGTTGTAATGTTGTGACTTAGTTCTAAACTGATATTATGTATGTGATAATGTGCAAGTAGGTAATAGAAAATATATAAATTAGGTTTGTGGGTTAAATTCTCCTTACAGTTGGTGATTATTTTTACAACAGAACATGAGCTACAGAGCTTCTTTATGGTTAACTTAGCATTTCATGTAGCAGAAATTGATGCTAGATCCACAGTGAAAGTAATCTCTCAGAAAGAACCGAAGCAGAAGTTGTTTCTAAGAGTCGATTCAATGCATGTGAGAAAAGAGGACAACTGACAGATGGTGATGCCTTCTCAACTGAGAAAAAACCATTCAGCTTCTTTTTCCCTCTTTCCATCTCTCTCCTTCTTTCATTCTCTTTTTTCACACTTAAGAAGGGGGAACAATTTATCATAGCACTGCAATGCCAACAGCTTCCTGTTTATAATGCCAGCCAGTTCCTGCATCTACCTTAAAGAAGACTCGAATCTAAAATAATGCAACATATGTAACATAAAACACCCCATGCACTTAATTAATAATTAAAAAGGAAGAAACATAACGTTTTAGATAATATAATAAATGTCATGGGTCTTGCAGGTACTTCAGAAATAAATGAATACGTTTAACTTAAGAAAAAAAAAACTAAATGTTTACAATTTATATAATTTCAACTTCATAAAAATGTAATTAAAAGTACATTTTTAATTAAAAATACGTTTTCATTTTACATTAGCATGAGCCCAAAACTTTTCACTTCCGTTTTTATAGATTTTCTATAGCATTTTACGATTATTTCTACTCCACCGTGTCCAAGAATCTGTTGATTTCTTCAGTTGAGTAGACTGATGACACGCAATGCTTTGTTCAATTTTTCAACTTTAACTCCGCCCATACGTACAAGTCATCGCACATGGCCCCGCCCACCTGCGTTGGCGTCATCAATTCAAACTGGTATTGAAAGCAGAGTGGAGCTTGTGGCGAGTCAGAGCGCATGCTGCACGGAGGAGGGAGGTATAGACTGTACTGCACGGTCTTTTTATATTTCGTATGAGCACAACGCCTTGATTTGTGAAGATGTGGACGGCTATAGGGAAACTGCTGCTTTTACATATGATACTCGTGGGGTTTCTGCTGGTAAACGGTAAGTGTCTGTTTTACGCTGTCGGTCCGCTGTTATGAATGTAAATGATGCAAAGGAAGCCGCGTGCATCTGCTTCCTTTGACGAGACATTAATAGAGCGCTAAGTTATATCACGAAAATCTCTTTAGGCAGCTTGTATTGTAATGAACTGCAATCTGATCAAGTACATGTTGTTCTTGCCCTGCCGTGTTCATTGCGGGGTTTACAAGAAGAAAGCGATTTTTAATGTAATTACAATAGTCTATTCTTCAAGGTCTACGATAGTAGTACACCACTGAAAGTAACACATATGCATTAGCGCAACTTTACTCCTACTGAATGTGTCTTGTTCATCATTCATTTAATTGTTTGTGCACACGTGTAATTTCTCATAGACAACAGTTATAGTTTACTGCAACCTGTCATTGCACACGTGCACATCGATTTTACTGTGATAGTATTGCCTAACAGATGTTAACAAAACTACACAGTGACTTGTAAAACTGTCAACAATTGCTTAGAATGTGCTCAAATGTTTTTAGAACGTCTTTACATGACACCTATTTTCAAACCTTTTTGAAGTTTTAAGTTTGTAAAGATTTCAACAGCTTTTATTGATGTACAATATGTGAATCTAAAATAAAATTATATGTAATATTGTGCTTTGTAAGTCATCCAACAGTTTGCTTTGACATCCTTTGGGGATGTTGGGTTAAAGATGTAACCACATATTGAAGATTAGTTTTTGGTTTAAAAGTTTGATCCTCCCAAAAGTTGGACCCTGCATTTACTCAAAAGGTCTTGTATGACAGGAAATAACCCGGACTGTGAAAGCGGTCAGTTTCAATGCAGGAATGGCAGGTGTATCCCGACTCCATGGAGATGTGATGATGATGATGACTGCTCGGACAACAGCGATGAGGAGAACTGCCGTGAGTAATCTGAACCTCTTTTTAACAGATGACTTATGTAGCCATGCTGGTATCCTCTTTGTTCCTCATTTGCCTGAAATCAGAAATTCTGTTTAAGTAGACCACTTGCTGGGTTTTGAAACGGGAATAATCTTAACACGCTGTTTTTTTGTAAAGCCTCCAACTGTCACGAGTTGTGGCTTTAGGTACCTTAACACTGGATGTTTTATAGGTTTTACTTCCCATTTTTATATATTATGAAGTTTCATGTATTGGACTATGCACTTAATGTGTATCTTTTGTGAAGCTGCTTGTAATAGCACATTATTATTGTAATTAAAGTCACATGTATAAAATGGATATTGCCATTTAAAGTGAGAGTGCGATCGTGCTCTGAGTTTGCATGGCATTTTAAGTGGGCATATTTTGAGCATATTATTAGACAGACATCCAGTTATTAGCTGTAAATGGAAGTAGGACTTTGCAGGAAGTTTGACAGTCAGGATTGATTTTTTTTCCAGGACCTGCTAATGAAAGACAAACATAAAAATCGTAATCAGCAAGTCAAAAGACTTAATTGAGATGTAGGCTACAGAAGAGGGGAGAAAGGCACAACTGGTACAAAATGTAATTATCCCGAAGTATTGGTCACAGTATTAATTGCAAGTGCAGTAATTATCATGGCTAGTTGATTAATATGGTAAATTGGAGGCACAGTGGAGAGAATGTTTTTTTTACTTTCAAAACTGATGGAATTAAAAGTCTTGAAGTTACATACGGTCATGCTATAAAGTAACAATCGCTCATATTGATCAATAGGAAACCACCTGATCCGACTTAAGTTATTTTAATTTGTTCCAGTTTGATTTGAGAGAAATAAAGAAATGATTATGCTCCGAATTTTCTGTGTTATTGGCAACTTTCATTCCCCCAGGTTCAGGTTTGTCGCATGCACCTGGTGTTTTATTGGAGTTGGTTATGCTCGTTTAAATGGACTCATGCTAAGGTGCCCAATTACACATGGTATCTCCAGCAGGCAGGGTATCTGTTGGGTTTCTCCCCAGGTAGAAGTGCTCTCTTGGGCTGTCAGTGGGCTGAATGCTCCTCTCTCTCCTCTGGATGTTTTCCCGCGGACTTGGACAGACATTGTCTTAGAATAATACCTTAAGGATTGTGGTTTGCACTCCCCTCCCAGACACAACCTACTCACAGAATTGGCAGGATTCCTCTTTAGTTGCCCATGGAGGCGGTAATAGCAACACTTCACGACACATATTGCTCCCTCTCCCTCTCTTTCTGTGTCCCTTTTTTCAGTACCAAATTCTAATCACAGAGCTTTGTGTCTGAAGATGAAGTGTGCTCTTTGGTAGAGACTGGCTTAGTGGCTATTTATGTGTGTTAGGATGGCCTTCAGTCTTAGATGAACGTCACATGGACGTGTATTATTATTACAACACAAATTGTTATACACTGTAAAGTGTGTTTAGCAGTTTAATTAAAAAAAGAAAGATTGTTTCATAATTTCCTTGTACACTACCATTCAAAAGTTTGTGTTTTAAATAACTTTGAAAGAAACCTCTTACGCTTATCAATGCTGCATTTATTTGATCAAAGAAACAATAAAACAGTATTATTGTGAAACATTATTACAATAAAAAAAGAACAGTTTTCTGTTTTAATTTATTTTAAAATGTAATTTATCCCTCCGATGGCAAAGCTGAATTTTCAGCAGCCATTTCTCCAGTCTTCAATGGCACACTTTCCTTCAGAAATCATTCTTTTGTAACATTATAAATGCTTTTGTTGTCACTTTTGATCAACTGAATGCATCTTTGCTGAATAAAAGTTTTTTTTTGTTGACCCCAAGCTTTTGAACGGTAGTGTATTCTGTTCAGTAGATGTTTTGTGGAGCAGAAATGTGCCAAAGATATGTAATTTTGCAGCTTGTAAGCTTAGAGAGAGAGAAAAAAAGATTTTGAATAACGTTGACTTGGGTGTTTTTTCTTGTTACTATTCCTTGTTGTATATATTATTTCACAGTGACTTTATTTTCTTTGAAGAAAGACATTATAACTGAAAAAAAAAACTGACAGAAGGGGACCGAGCGATTTTCTTTTTTCTTTTTGGCTCAGATGCGCGTATTATGTTGGAGTTGCCACTCTCAGACATCACAACAGATTTCATGGCTGTTTTTTAATAACCTGTGTTTCACATACCTTTACCACAAATATAATGAGGCGCCATCTCACTTGCACATACACAAATACACATAATCATTTATTTTTCTCTCAGTCTCTTAAAAAGAGGTCAAATAGGGCATGTCATACAAGGTCACAGGTCAGAGACATAATCAGGTATCTTGTCGAATCTGTTGAGATAATGAACCTAACCGCCTGTATCACATGCATGGGGTGTTTCAGAGACACGAGAGATGCCTGTAGGAATAATATCTCGTTTTTATATTAAATGACTGTGCAAAGCTGCTCTGTGTTAGAAGAGTTATGCATTATGTGCAGCTGTTAGACTGAGCTCTTGTATTACGTGTCTAAATGCACTCCTTTCTTATTCAAACCACACACACATAGTACACACACAGAGTGAAGCAGAGCCAAATGAATGAGCAAACACTGCTTCTAGTATAATCATTTCCTGGTACTGCTCTCCAGGTATTGCAGCACCATGCGAGGAGGATCTCATTTGTTTACTTTGAGGTAGGAAGTATTCCTCATGGGAATGTAAATGTGTGTGTGTGTGTGTGTGTGTGTGTGTGTGTGTGTGTGTTTTATTTATTTTTATTTTTTAATGTGCAGGTTTAAAGGGGTCATAGGATGCTACATGCACTTTTACAAGTTGTTTGAACTGAAATGTGTGTTGGCAGTGTGTGTACACTGGATTACATTGTTTCTGAAGGGAATGTGCCCCCGATCTACATAAATCAGAAGAGCTCATTAGCATTTAAAGGAAAATGCTACAAAAACAGCTTGATTTGAAAAGAGCTGTTTTTGACAGGGTAAAAAAGGTGTTTTTTACACTACCATTGAGAAATTTTAACCAAACTATGTTACAGACTTTCCATTAAGACCCTAAAGAATCATATCAACTTGTGGAAAATGGGCATCCTATGACCCCTTTTAATAAAAATGTATGATTAAAATATGAGACGACAGTGCCTGTTAACAGGAACAAAGGAGAGTTTAGTGAGAAATCAATATTTTTATGATGTGTACGTTCATGATGTCATACTGAGATGTTCTGACCTGTGCAATTGCAGTGCAGATATCCCTGTGCTCCACACTTCGCATCACTTTGATTTTCTCTTATTACACCCTTCTTTTATATATTTTTTGTGTTATGTACCTTTTCTGATGAATTGGTCTGTGAGTTGTTTCTGGGAAAAAGGACGCAAATACAGCAATTTTAGGATGTGTTTTCAAACAGGATCAGCAGGTTTTTACATCTTGCATTTCCTCATTAAATAAATAATTCAGACAAATATTTGGTCAGTGTTTACTCTCTCTCATGTCATTCCATGACTTTGTTTCATTCGAAAACAGACTGAGAAATTTTGTACTAGTCAGTCTTTTTCACGCAGTTACAATGAATGATTACTGAAGCTTTCAGGCTTCAAAACAGATGCGAAAGCATAATAAAAAGTGTCATAAAAGTCATAATAAAATATCATAAAGGTTTTTTGAAGCCATTTGATATCTTTAAAAGATAACCAGACAGTTTGTGTGATAATTCATTCATCACTGATGCTATCCTGTGGGCTGTTAACTGTTGCAAACTGGATCAGCTAAATTCCTGAATGAATCATTCAGACCGGTTTTGATATCTGGATCAACTGATTCATTCAAAAGATCAGAATGATTCATTCTCAAATTGGGGAGTGCTACTTTTCTCATGAACTCTTGAATGCACCAAGGAGAGCTAGTGCAGATGTTA